CTCATCAGTAAAATAGGAACAATAATGCTTACTTTACTGGTTTGTTTTAAAGATTAACTAGGCCGGGTATGGTGGCTCATACCTGTAATCTGAGAACTTTGGGAGGCCAAGGCAGGAGAATTTGCTTGAGGCCAGGAGTTTAAGACCAGCCTGGGCAACATAAAAAGACCCTTTCTCTATAAAAAATTTAAAAATGAGCTGGCCATTGTGGCACAAGCCTATAGTCCAAGCTACTCAGGAGGCTGAGGCAGGAGGATCACTTGAGCCCAGGAGGTTGAGGCTTCAGTGAGCCATGATCACACCACTGCACTCCAGCCTGGGTGACAGAGTGAGACCCTGAAATAAATAAATAAATAAATAAATAAATAAATAAATCTTAACTAACACTATCATAGCAGAGATTGCTAATACCCTCCCACATCCACTCTACACTTCTGTAGTATTAGAATTTTTATTGGGCACATGGGTTGCCCATCTAAAGACCTCATTGCTTGGCCACGCACGGTGGTTCATGCCTGTAATCCCAGCACTTTGGGAGGTCGAGGCAGGCAGATCACCTGAGGTCAGGAGTTCGAGACCAGCCTGGCCAACATGACAAAAGCCCGTCTCTACTAAAAACACAAACATTAGCCGGGGGCAGTGGGCATCTGTAATCCCAGCTACTCGGGAGACTAAGGTAGGAGAATCACTTGAACTCGGGAGGTGGAGGTTGCAGTGAGCCAAGACCATGCCACTGCATTCCAACCTGGGTGACAGAGAGAGACTCCTTCTCAAAAAATAAAATAAGATAAAATAAAATAAAATAAAAACCTAATTTTCCGGCCTCCCTTGCAACTAAGGTGGCTGCATGATTAGGTTTTAGCAAATGTGATGTGAGTAGAAGCGTGTGCAAGTTCTTGGTCATGCCCTTAAAAGCAAAGGAGCCTAGCTTCTGTGCTAATACAACTACAAATGCAAGTTATCAATAAATAGTAACCTTAATGTAGGCATTATCTCCATTTTATAGACACAAGGCAGAACTGTGTAAGTGGCTAAGCATATAAGCCTTGGAATCCTCTTGACGTGGTTCACTAAGCCACTACTAGCTTTGTGACATTGTGACATTGGGCAACTCACTCTACCTCTCTCAGCCTAGTTCCGTCATTTGTGAATAGAAGCAATAATTCTAACCTCATAGGTTTGTTTCTGTATTGCTTTCCAAAACCTACTTCTTCTTTCAAGGTCCATCTCAAACCATGCCTCCATCTCCTGACTCTCTAAAGGTCACTTCAAAAATAATGCAAATCCAAAAATTCATCATTAAGAACTTGGACTGAGATGCAGATAGGCTTGATCAAGTTCTAGTCAATGGAATATAGGCAGAAGTGCAACATCCGCAAATGTCCTTATACAGGAAGTGGAGAAGACATGCCATTCTCTTCCACTTGTTCCTTTCTGCTGCTGGAATGGAACCTCATAGTTGGAACTCAGCAGCCATTTGGGCCATTAAATATTGTCAGAAATGTAGGTCATATATGGCAGAACATAAAGACAGAAGGAGCCTGGATCCCTGACACTATGCAGCCACGATACCAGCTCTGAGCTGCCTACCTCCAGACTTATTCTATGAGAGAAAAAATAAACTTCATTTGCATATGTTACCATTATTCTAGAATTTTCTGTTATTTAGCTATTCCCAACTAGCATTAGCGAGTTTCTTTTCATTTTTAAGACAGAGTTTCTCTCAATCTGTTGCCCAGGGTAGCATGGAGTGATCACAGTTCACTGCACTCACTGCAGCCTCAACCTCCTGGGCTCAAGCAATCCTCCCACCTCAGCCTCCCTAGTAGTTGGAACTAGAGGTGGTGCCCCATCACAGCTGGCTAATGTTTTTCATTATTTTTGGTACAGATGGGGTTTCGCCATGTTGCCCAGGCTGGTCTACAAACTCCTGGACTCAACTGATCTGCCCGCCTCAGCCTCCCAAAATGCTAAGATAATGGGTGTGAGCCACCATGCTGAGCCCAGTTGCTTAACAATTCAAAAATCAAAAATCAGCTGCCATTTACTAAGTGCGTACAGAGCACTGGGCAATTGTGTTGTCTTTTCTTTTTTCTTTTCTTTTTTTTTTTTTTTTTACAGGGTCCACTTTGTTACCCACAGCTCACTGCAGCCTCAACCTCCTAGGCTTAAGTGATCCTCCCATCTCAGCCTCCAGAGTAGCAGGGACTATAGGTGCATGCCACCATACCTGGCTAATTTTAAAAATTTTTTGTAGAGATGAGGTCTATGTTGCCCAGGGTGGTCGAGAACTCCTGGGTTTAAGCAATCCTCCAGTCTTGGCATCCCAAAGTGCTGGGCTTACAGGCATGAGCCACCTCACCAGGTCAGTTGTGTTGTCTTCACAGCAATTGTCTGTGAAGACAGACAGCAAGACATGCCCCAATTATCAAAGACCTCACAGATGCTCCTAAGACAAACCCCTTCACCCCTCTGAGCCTCAGTTACCTCCTTTGTAAAGTGAGGATAATTGTGCTTAAGCCAAAGATGGCAAACTAGTTGGTCAGGTCTATTCTGAACACATTTGTCTGTCATGTTATTTTTTTAACTAGAATGACTGAGTCAGGCATATTCTAAGCAGTTTACATGATAGTGACTTGGAGAACAGGTGAGAGTGGTCAGACTGGGGATATATTTTGGAAGAATTGCCATCAGGATTTGCCAAAAGAATGGATGTCAGGTTTGAGGGAAGAAAAGGAGATAGAAATACTAAAAAGGAACACAGGTGGAAGCCAGCGCACTAAAGACATAAGAACATAAAGAGGCCTCACAAGACAAGACTCTAGACCCTCACGTGTTCAAGCTGCTGAGCTCAGGCCTTGTTCCAGGCAGCCAAACACTGGATTTCCGATCTCTCTTAGAAAAGCAGACATCTGGCAACACTGGGCCTGTGTCCCTCTGTGACAATAATCTGCCAGAAATGAATAAAGGCTGCTCTCTTCATATGGCCTCAGTGCCCATCCGGACTGCTTTCCTTGCAGGGTACCTGCCTGGCCCCTGTAGCTCCTGATTTAATAATCTCTGCAAAATTTGACCTGGAAAAAATGAAACTGACCAAAAGGATGACCCTACACATACCAATGAAATCTTACAATAGAAGAAGATATGGTTAGTAAAATTGGACATGGAGCCAGAACATAATCCACAAGTCAAATATTTTCAAAATACAAAGAGATGCCTTTAAAGTCTGACACAAAACAAAAATGCTCAAAATACATTGATTATATGAAAGTTCCTGACTAGTGCAGTAAGACAAGAAAAAGTGTAAGATCTGAAAAAAGAGACAAAACCTTCATTATTCACAGACAATATGATTGGCAATACAGAAAAGTAAAGAGATTCCAAAAACCACTGGAATTTTTTAAGGTTTCAACTTTGGTGCCAAATAGGGGGTCAGTACACAAAATTCAATCGTGTTCCCTCTAAAGGACACCAAGAAACAATATATAACTTCTGATTTACAATAATTTCATTTACAATAGCAGTCAAACCATGTGGTACCTTGGAATAAATCCCCCAAAGTATGTAAGACCTTTATGAAGAAAACTATATTTTATTTAAATGCATAAAATAAGACGTAAATAAGTGAGAAATCAAGTGGGGTCATTCACGGAAAGATTCAGTGTTATGAAGTGACAATTCTGTACAAATGCAATGCAGCTCCAATTAAGATCTCATAGTTTTCTGGAACTTAGTAGGCAGGTTGTAAAATTTATATGGAGGTTCCAAATATACCTGAGACCATCTTAAAGAAGACAAGAGAGAAGAATGTTTCCCATAAAAGAACAAACTGGAGTTCAGATTTCTCTTTGGAAACTGAAAGATCTGCCCACAGTGGACCCTCACTTCTGGAGAGGAATAATCAGCTACAGTTGACCAGCAGTTGCCCCTTCAGATAGAATCTTCGATCTCCAGTTCACCCAGTGTATCTTCTACTTAAGGTACCTGCCTGACCCTTGCAGGTATTTGATTATGTGATGGTTACCTGGAATGAGGGCTTAAGGTAAGAGGAATGGAAGAGATTGTTTAAAATACATATATTGTTTGGTTGTGTAAGTATTCTCCTCATGGTGAAACTTGACCAGGCAAATTGAAAGAGTAACAGAGAAATATGTGAATCTCTTAAGACTTGGATGTTTCTGGTAATAGTGAAGTTCCGAGTATGATCATGGGAATGCGTGGCTGAGAAGGAATGAAGGAAAGGGTGTCTGAGGATATAAAGTGAAAGGACTGGAAAGTGCAAACAGCACAAGAGTCAGGGATGGTGGCTCCCCTGAGACCAATACCAGGAGTTGGGGTGAAGGGAATCTGCCTGTTGACAAGGTTTCCTAGAGTCTGATGCACAGTCCTTGATCCACAGCGTCAGAAATAGTGGTTAAAGAAATATAAGCTACCTATACGTGGGGCTGCCTATTAACTCCGCCAAGTGACTTAATTCCTGCCTCCTTATCTGTAAAATGGGCATAATTACGGCATCGTTTTTGGAAGATTCCATGTAATAAAGTCTGAAGTGTGCTTAACACAGTACCGGGAACGTAAGAAGCACTCATACTTCATCCTAAGTACGACGGAGGTCTTTTCAAAAAAGTAAAAATAATGCAATATGACTTACTTGGAAATGTATCAAAAAGAAAGACCGATGAATGGATCGAGGTGTAGTGTGATAAAACAGAGTAAAATTTTAATGATAAAAAGTTAATGGTAAAATGTTCACTGTAAAACTTTCAACTTTTCTGCTTGAAAATGTGCATAATCCGACGTGGGAAAAAAATAATGCATTGCAGTCAGTTCTGGGGAAAAGGAAAGCTAAGTTTTAATTTTGCTATTGTTTTTGCTTTTTTAACAGAAAAAGTACAAAGAAAACAACAAAATGGGGGAGATGTTTCTGAATTCGTCCCGCCTGTGGGCTGTGGGCCGTTAGCAAAGCTGCTTGCATGAAATCATCGAGCACCGCTTGCGAAATGCCAAATCCTCGAGAGCGAGGCCGGAGGCTGCCAAACCCGCGCTGGGGAAAGGGACGCCTCCGGGCGCCCCATCCCTCTGCGGACGGAGGTGAGGTTGGAGCGAGCGCTGGCGGAAGAGAGGCTCAGCAGTTACCAGGGGGTGCAGAGCCGGC